TTTCCGTTCTCTAAATAGTAAAAAGCTCTGCTCTAAAAAAATATTTATCCAGGCACTTATCGACATACAGGAATAATAATAGAATGATCAGTACAATATTATATATTCTATGATATTTTCTAACAGACACAATAGATGTTGCATAACACTATTGATGAGGTTGCAAGCTCAAAAAGTTTTCTGATTAAAAAAATAAATGATTCATTACTTTTGTTTTTTATTAATTTTTATTCATTCAATGTAATTGGATGGACTTTGAAACGTGTATGTGACAATCATAACACCTATTGTCAATAAATAGATTTATTTTTGGCTTCTTATTTTTGCACACAATATAATGGTTAATAGAAACATAGAACGTTAGAAGAGAAAGTGAGGATATAAAAGTCATTAAACAAATTGCCGATTAATCCTGTACCGATTTGTATCGGTTATAGCTAAGAACTCATACATTGAACCGCTACTGGCTCTCTGTTCGATATCAACAAGAGTCGGTACCCGTTTTGATCATGTCTTATTAATTCAGCCTGATACAGTTAAGAAACTATAGCAGTTCTCATCGAAAAGCAAAACCTGAACATTTATTTCTAGTGTTAAAGTTATTCACTTGGAAGACTGAGAATAATGAGTGACACAAGCTTTTTTAGTTATCTCACACTAAAATTGAGTATACACTTACCCGAAATATTATTATTCATGAAACTGAACAATTGCACCCGTTGTATTATACAATCTAAGTCTGATCATTGACATGGAACATTGTCTTTTAACTAAAGCAGAACATGACATTATTGTTTTAGTTTGTACTTTTTTGAATAAGATAAATTCTACAGTCAGAAAATTGATTTTCAAAGACTAACAAAGTTCTCGTTCTATGCTCCCGTTCTAATTCTTTTTCTGAAGCATGTAGATTTGGACAGTAAAGTTCTCTCGTTGTTGTATGTCACTTTGTCAGATTCTGGGCATTGCTCTACTTATATTTCAGTTACGCTTCAACATTTAGGATTAACTAATAAGGTTCTAAAAAAATGACATGAACTAGGATGAGATGAATAACTATATTACTTTTCACCAATAATGTAACAGTAATAATGTAACATTGTGTAGACAATGGTGTTTTTTACTCAAAGAACTACTTCTTATTGAAAGTTCCAAACAATTTGGATGTTAAAAGATTGAAATACACAGATTTTGCTTTTGTACCGATGTGAAAAAATGCATACTTTTCAATAAAAGTCTCCAATTCTTTTTTGTTACTTCAGTTTTCAAAAATCAGAATAACTCATTTTTTGAAGGAAAGGAGCCAGAAACTTACGGATTCCGCTATTCAACAGCGGATGGTTGAAGCATCGATCTATGGACAAATAAAAGTAAAACTATCGCCTGCAGGTGGTGTACCTCATCAGTACTTTTTAGCTAAGATCTTCTTCGCTAAAACAGTTTCGGATTTTGAATGTCAAACCTCAGTCTGGTTAGCTCTGATAACCTGAAAAACGACCACAGATATTGGTTTTTAACTATGATGAGTCTCGTAGCAACGTTTGTTTTTAGGAAATTCAAAATCGATTCAACCTTCCTGTAATTACAGCTTAGAAAAAAATTTCCTTGTTTCTAAAGATTTCTAGGAAACCTTCACAAAAATCAAGTACTTCCTATTGGTTCCTAAAACTTTGTTGAATTCAAAATATACGGCAGACAAGATAGAATATGAGTTGAAATTTTACTTTAATTTTTCACTATATTTTAAAACGGATAACAGACACTTTTGAACTGATTTTCTTAAAAAAACTGAGATCTGACAGTTGCTTGTTCACACTTTCTTTCTTTCTTTGTTTGACTGAATGGAAACCGATTTCGACGTTTTTCTAGAGATAGCATTTTTTTGAATACGTCCTGAGAAGTAGAAGTCTGGTTACACATGATACTTTTTTAGTACTCTTAGCTTTTCAACAAGGTCTTTCAAGCTGTACACTAGAAGTGGAAATAATTTTGAGCTCCGATCGACTTGTTGGTCAGTGTCACGAGCTTTCTTTTGAAAATCGTCTTTTAATAATGTGAAGTAATTGGATGTAACTACAATCTATTATTTAATATGAAGGTCTCTCTCATTCTTTCAATAAGTTACGAATGACAACCGTTTTTCCTGGAACCATCCGACCCAACTCATCAGTGCAATCGAACAAATTATCGACCATTCTGGATCTTGCGGCAAAAAGATATGGCTATGCCGGGGTACAATAAGAGTATATGTTCAAAACGCATGTCTACTAGATTCCCTCCTCCAAAAAAAAACATTCTTTGGACCGAATGAAAAAAGATAGAGAACTCGGAATTGCTTAGATATGTAACGCAGATGTCGCTCTATGCATCTTTACATGTCTTTGGAACAAACAATCCGATGTGATTTTTCATAACCATAATTTTTTGGCTGTAGAATCTGAGATTGATTTTCTATAGGTTGATAGCTCAAGTTTTTACCACAATATGGTAGAAACAGCGAGTTTGAAACAGTATCATTCGTAACTTATTCAAAAAATGAGACAGTCTATTATATAAAATATGGATAGTAATTAGAGTTCGTAGGAATTCAGTTGTATGAACTGTGATTGCAATAAATCCCGAGGGACATGATGAAAAAAGTATTTTTTCTGAGGTTGAGAATGTTTAAATATTTATTTACTTACGAAAAGGGCGAGTGTTTTCTGTTCTTTTGTTTGGTTTCATATTAATTATAATATAGCAGCTTTCTATTGTATTACGGAAAATATGATTGATTGTTTAATTACTGACATGTATTTATCAGTTCAAAACTTTGCTACCGACATTTGTCAACAACGGGTGAACACCGTTGAAACTATGGTAAGATGCTCGCTAACATCTTCTGTATTACATCTATTCGACTCTTTATACAAAATTCTTTATGATACCCTTCTTATTTGGAGTGAATTGTTGAAACATGGTACATAAATTCACCGGCATCATATTAAAAATAAATCGAGCTATATACGTAGTAAAAAATGCCATTATCAGATAAATGAGATATGTCAATTATCGTAAATGAGATCTATTCAATTAAAAGTTGTTTCAAGTTTTGAATAGCACAAGCTGTAATGCTTATTTTTTTTTAATAGAAAAAGAAAGGAATAAATAGGAGTGATTCATGTCATAAGGATTAAATGATGAACATATCAAAAAAATAATAGATTCTTGTAAAGTTCTCATCGTATAACAAGTGACCTTTTTGTATAGGATGTTTGTTGTAACACTAATGAAGAAAAATATCTGCTACACTGATTCCTAGGAATGTGTTTTAGCTTCATTTATATAACTAATTTTCATGACAAACTAATCCTAAATTATTGTTTAATACATATATGGCATCTCACTCATCATCCGAAAGCAAAGTCTTTAGATATTTAAGAAAAATATGTTATTGTGTATTTTTTATCAAAAGTTTCATATTTCTTTTCAAGAAAACACTTTTATACGTGCCAGAGAAAAAAAACTGCATTTCTCATCAGTTTGTTTGCTCTAACTTCTAATGTTAAACTACATATAGTATTTTTAATGTAATTTATCTTCATATATATTGGATATACACTGTAGTGAAAAACAAAGGATAGAAGGGAATAAAACAGAAACAATGCAGGAAATTACTGCGAAAACATCTTAGAGCAAGTAAATGTCGATATAGGTTTACTCAGAAGAAGAAAAAGAGTAGAGAAAAAAAGGAAGATTCGATTGATATTATGATCTTCATGACAGATGAGTGCCAACAGTTTTTCTGTTTCATCTAGAGAGAAAAACATATACTTGCTTGTATATGTAACAACAACTATAGACCAAGAAGAAGGTTACGCTTTTTTCCATTAAAAGCTGCTGAAAAATAACTCTAGAAAGCTCATTGTGTGACACCACTAAAAGAAAAATAAAGAGAGACTATTCATGATTGCAATCCTTCATAAAAATTTATATCATGCAAACTACACACAGAGACTGCTAGTAACAAAGGTAAAAAGTATTGTTTTGAATTTCTACTGATTTCTTGGTTGAATATGAATATAAATTTTTTTTTCTATTCATATCATTTTATTTGTGCCAAAAGGTTCACAAAGACAAATATATACATACATACATAAAACAGAAATATGAGCACAAAAAAAGCGTAATAGAATGCTCAGAAAAAATAATTCCTGTTTTAGCGTTTCCTGTTAACTAGAAACAACTTAAAGTAACAATATTAACAAAACTAATATTTACAATAATTCATATTTAAAACAAAAATGTCATGGCGGTTCTATGAAGTATTTATATATGAAGAGTTTAAGCAGGGCAGTTGAAGATTTAAAAAACTTATATTGCGGTTTATGAATTTCTGAGAACATCATCCAGTCGAGTTTTGTGTGTTGCACTCTATGTGCTAGCCTATTAGGGAAACGGCTATTTTTTCGAAACCTCATAGATCTGTAGAGTGTTTCCGATGGCGACTGCGCTATAAAAAACGCTGATCATGTTTGCTGATATAAACATGCCTCATGAGTCTCATCAAGATACTTTTCAAAACGTGTCCAGAAATTGAAAATATAGTCATTCAATGACAGTTCTCTACTTAGTACTAATGTGGTAAAATCATCCCATCCTTCCAGTGCATGGGTAATAGTAAAACATGAAGACACGCACAGACACCCGCAGACAGCACACAGACACCCACAGACAGCCACAAACAGCCACAGACAGCTGCACAGACAGCTGCACAGACAGCACACATACAACCACAGACAGCTACACAGACATCCAAACACAGACATCCATACACAGACATCCATGGATGTCTGTGTAGCTGTCTGTGGCTGTCTGTGGTTGTATGTGTGCTGTCTGTGCAGCTGTCTGTGGCTGTTTGTGGCTGTCTGTGGGTGTCTGCGGGTGTCTGTGGGTGTCTTCATGTTTTACTATTACCCTCCAGTGCATATATCAGTCTCAGGCCAGTCATATATACGTGCTCAATTAGATCCTGTTGTTTCACTGTAAAGAAAAACCAAGTAACGAAGAGCCAAATGAAGTGTAGGAGCAAACGCTAAGAACAGTTTTCTTTTTATTTTCTCTTCTTTTCTTGGAATTGAGTAAAATAATATACGTAATGCGGCATACACATTTCTAATTATTGCAACTCTGCTTTGAATATAGATTCCCCATCCCAATTTAGCTCGAATTTCTACTCCCAAATATTTAAATATTAACACAAATTCTATAACAATTCCTTTATATTCAACTACTGTTAGCTGAGGTGCTACCACATTATGAACGAGCATAGCTTTCGTTTTTGAAATAGTTACTGGTAAGATCATATCGTCGGCAAATTTCTCTAATATTTCTAATGCAATTTTGGCTTGCATTTCTAATTGGATATTATCCGAGAACCTTTTTTCTAAGGCCCCATAGATGATAATGGCGAGGTCATCCGCAAAGAGATGCATGGTAAATTGGGCAAAATATTTTGGGCAAAAATATACGTCCAATATAGAAATTCATTTAAATGTTGTAAAAAACGCGTCCTTCTATATTTTCTTTTAAGTCTATTTTGTTTTCTTGCTAGCTGCACTAGATACATCGGCCACGGTGGTCTATATTGTTTAACTGGTTTCCGCTCACTCACCCTATCCCATAGGGCAGCTAGGAATGCTGAAAAAATCGTGGCAAAAGCTTCGGAGTCGTTTTTATAGATACTTAAATTCCATTCCGGAAAGATGCATTGAAGAAAAAAAGTGTAAATAGCCCAATTTGTCTTCCGAAATATAAGTTACCTTTATCGAATGTAGAAAATGGGGATTGAATCACTACTGGAAAATGGTCAGAGGTACCTTCATTGACTACATCTATTTTCCAACCCTCTGAATCGTTTGTAATTCCAAAATCGATTATCGCATCTGATTTACGCGAAGTCGGTTTTGACGACACTATCATTTCGGATCCTGTATTCTCAAGCCAGTCTAAAAGTTGACTTCCACTTTGATTATTAACCTTGTAGTTCCATTGCGTATGTTTTGCGTTGTAATCCTCAAAAATATAAAAACGCTTACCTAAGTATTTTTGAAAAATATGAAATGGAGGAGGAAACTTTGGTGGTACATAAACGACTCCCACAAAAATGGGATCTGGACTTAAATCCGTTTCAATGAGCAGAAAATTATCTTCTGTATCGATTACAAAGCTTTTTATTGATGTGTGTATTAAAAAGGCAACACCACCATATGAATTAGTACCTACTTGGCTTATCCAGTAATACGACGAAATCTTAGGTAGCTTTCTCACTGCTGCGCCTATTCCTGTTAGCATACAGATCTTCGGAACATAGATTGAGATGAGAATATCAATATCCGCGATATGCGTGTTTAAACCTTCAACATTATACAACAAGAAAAGAAATGCTGCATTATCATCAGTAGGTCTCTCTTTTTTCCAATTTTTACACAAACCAGGAAATCGACTGTTTTTCATTCCACCCATGAAACATATCAGTAAGTACAGCTTTAGATGGCTGAGGGCTCTCAAACACATTGATCAAATCATTACTCAACTGCAACGAATAAAAACTGTGCGCACTAGACATTTTCAGTATCTGATATTTCAACTAAACTTGTTACCAGAAGTTCATTTTGTTTTTCCATAACACCCATTAACTTTTCATGAAGTTTTTGAAGTAGATCGGTACGGTCGAGTACCATTTCTGATGTTTTTGATAGTTCATGAAGTATTTTATTATAATTTAGTTGAATACTTTCGTTGTCATTATCACTATTGTCAATTTCGATTACTCCACCCAGTGCTATTATTGTCTGATGTATAGCTGATACAATTTCAATAACTGCGGTGTACATGTCTTTAATCGTTTCATTTTGTATTTTGATTTGTGTTTTTAATATATCAATTTCCTGATTTGTTTTCTTTAATTGATTGTCGTATCTCCGTTTAAATGATATTTTGTCTTTCGCATGTTCACGTTTTATTTCCTCTAATTCATCGTTTATCAATTTCATTTTCAAACTAAACTCTTGATGTTGTTTATATGTTGGAATCGTGAGTGCTGAATTACCACTCGTCCAAGGATTTATATTCGTATAATTATTCTATTCCTGCAATTTTTGTTGTTTCAAATTGTTATTATTATTATTTCCTAAAATTCTGTTGTTTTTGTCGTTCACTCAATATTCACCTGGGATAAAGAGTTGCACATCTTCTGGAATTAGATCTGATCTTCGTTTTAACTCGGCTACTAGATCTTTTCGATATTGTGTTAGAATTGGACATACATAATTCGTCGACAGATACTCACCTTCACAGTGATGATATTTTATTATACAGTTGATAGGGTCACCATTTAAACGATCACTGCCACATCTTCGACAAACTTCAAAGTCACATCTACAGTTTTTCTTCGTATGCCCAGGTGAGTTACATTTCGAGCATATTAATAATTTTGGTGGTCAGAGAAACTCGTAGGCATCATACAATTGTCCAAAAATTGAAACTTTGCCTGAGTTTAGTATATTTTCATATTCACTTTTTGACGCTAGGTCCATTCGTACATGTCTATTTCTCATATTTTTACTTCCAGAAATGTCAACAATAGCAAACATTTTTGTGAATTGTCCTTCTAATTCAGTCTTAACTTCGTCAACTGAAATACAGTTATCAACAAATTTTATCATCATTGAAAGTTGCACAGGTAAATGTTTTGGTAATATAGGCTTTAATTGAATATTATTTATTGACAACGGACAATGTTTTGAATCACATAAATAAACATACACATCAATACACTTAGTTACTCCCATCAAATCCCCGTTGCGCTTAATCCACCAATGTTCAAATCCCAGGGCTTTAGTTCCTAAGTGTGGATAATTTCGACGAAAATCAACCTCTATATACCTAAAGAGTTGTTGAATAACAGCCATACCTTGATTTTGCTTTTGTAGTTTTGGTTCACATACAATTTTCACTAGAGCTAATGAATTATCCGATGCATACTTCAATGCTTGATATGATATTTCACTACTATTTTGCCCATCATCATCACTCCTATATCTTACATTGTTAATATGTTGTTTATTAATAGATTTAGAAGACTGAATCGATGACGCTATCGTTATATTTGAGTTACTAATTACTCTTGTTGTATGATTCTTTTTTGTCCATCAATATCTTGTTAACCAATCTTTCATCGTAATCTTCTTCATCAAAATCAGATAATTGATTCCGTTGATTTACCTCGCGTTTTTGAACTTTTCTTTTACCATTCACTTGTATCCATTCACCATCATTCTCCACACTTTCTTCATTATTAGAAAGATGTCTTTTCATTTTCCTTTTTTGTTCATAGCTATCCAATATTCGTCTCATACGATTTCCATTCACAATATCTTCCTTTTCATGTCTTATTTTATTAGATTTCTTATAACCATCATATGCCACCATTAATTATACAAAAAAAATATATATTTACTTTAATAAATTGTTAAAAATGCCAGTAAGTTTTCAATTTGATTAAAAACCACATGTACGTACTAATGTACAGTTATATTAGAAGAAAGAAACAAACAGACGATATTACAAAATACGTCCGTTCACAACTTTGAAAAGCGAGGACTGAATATGAATATAAATATCTAGATAAATATAATTATTCATATTTGAATATGAATACATATCACCGACAAAAAATTAAAGTTCATTTAGAGTTAAAGCAAAGTGCTTTTTCGTATTCAGCACACTTGATAACCTGGAATATTTTCTATTCTTAGCGAGGGGTACCGCCAAAAAGTTAAGAAAAATTTTTAAAATTGCTTAATTTTACCACGGGGATTTTTCTGCGTCAATTTGTTTGAAAATTTTTCTTAACTTTTTGACGGTACCCCTGCTAAAAATAGAATATTTTCCAGGTTATCAAGTGTGCTGAATACGAAAAAGCACTTTTCTTTAACTCTAAACAAACTTTAATTTTTTTTTTATCGGTGTAATGCTAAATTATCTAGATGTAACCATTACAACTATA